GGCTGTGATGTGCTGCCCGAGGAAGGAGTTGTGGATGTAGGACTCATGGCCACCTTGGACCAGGATCGCGTCAGTGGAGAAGTGGGTGATGTAGCAGTTGTCGATGGTGGTGCGAAGGGAGTTTATGAGTGAAATGCCTCCAGCCCTGAAGTTGGCATCGATAAGCAGGTCCTTGAGTCGGATGTTCTCGTAGAGGAAGGTGGCGCCGGAGGGGGCACCATAGGCCTTTGCAGCATCGCCGTTGCGGGTGTCAAGCTTCGGGACAGATTCCGGCCACAGCTCAATGAGGTGACGATCAGATGGAAAATCGTCTGTTGATCTCAATGACCCACCATGAATCTGTGAATTACAATACTCAAGTGAGTCCATTTGTGTATGTATGTTTTTGCAATTTAAAGTGTTTAAATTTGGGTAAATTCGAGTACCATGAGGTTTCCACCACCAGAGGCCGGAAGTCGAAGGGGTCTGCTGATGAGATAAGAGCCGCCTTCGAGATGGATTTGGGCACCACCGAGGTCTGGAATCCCGGGCATGAGTCTGTGGCTGTTCTGTGGACGGAAGGCATCAGAGATGGCACGGAGGAGGGCATCAGTGCTGTCCGTTTTCCCAGTGGGGTCTGCACCATAAGCTGTAACATATAGAATCCGAGAAGCTTGACCTTTTTGCGGCTGTTAAATAAGAGCAGAAACGATGGAAATCCAGGGTAAGAATAACAAACTCAAAGAAGAACGAGCAGGGAAGAATAGAAGGGAATCGGAAGACCGATGGCATTTACGGGAAAAGAGCCACCAGGAGCAGGAGCAAGAGAAATTGCGGTGAGTCTGCGGGCAAGAGAGGGAGATGGCCTGAGAAACTCCATCTTCTTCTTCAGCCACAGTTGATCAGGGCTTTCTCCAGGAAATGCGGCCACGAAATCAAAGAAACAATAGGCCATTAGCAATAGTGGAGCAATAACTATCAAAGCAGAGGAGGAGGAGACCATTGTGGGGTAGATCTTCACTTTCATCAAAGAAAAGGAAGAACCTGCAATTCCTAAGCTCTACAATGAATGAGAAATACAGAGCCAAAGAGAGAGCGCCCCTTGTTGAAAAAGGGCTCATGCAAATGTTGCTTTGGGAGTCAGCAGATCTCTTATAAGGGTCTTTTCTCTGTCTCTCTCGTGGCATTGACAGTGGCAGTGGCACACAAAGAAGAGGAGGGAGGGACTCTCTTTCTCTCTATTACCTAACATCATTGAATTCCTCTCCGCTTTGCCACGAATGGCAAACAAACTCTGAAATAATGTTAACTCTCGCTTTCTCCACCTCAAAAGCCAGATGGAAATCGTGGATTCCAATCCTGGATTCCGTCGGTGTGAAAATATCTCTTTCTTCTTGCTTTTGTTTTTTCTCTCTCTCCTTTTCTTCAAATCAACGCTCAATCCTGATTGCGCTCTTTCTTAGCTCTTTGAACCCGAACAATTTGTGCGCTCTCTCCTTTATCTACTTTACCTACACTCATACTAGCTTTTCACCTTTCAAAAAAAAGGGAAGTCAGTTTTTCCCTTTACTGCAAGACCTACCTTGTAGATTACATTGTACTTAAAGTAAAAATATGGCTTTATCCTCTATTTTTAACTTTTGTATATCATGATACTCAATAATTTAAAATAATATTTTTAAACAAAAGGTCTCCATTTTTTCTATCTTACAAACTTTCAGATCCTTTTGACTATAAATTTTTTTACCAAAAGAAACACTAAAATGACACCCTATTCAAACTCTATCTCTCTCTCTAAAACTCCATCTCTTTTTTTGCTTCTCGATAAATTTACTAGCCAAGGTGTCTAGCTTGGACTCGAACACGAGCACACCTTCTTATGTGTGTGATAGAGATGAAGTTTTAGAGAGAGAGATAGAGTTTGGATTTAAGAGAGAGAGAGATAGAGTTTGGATTTAAGAGAGAGAGAGTTTTAGAGAGAGAGATGGAGTTTGAGTTTTTGAGAGAGATGGAGTTTAGAGAGAGAGACGATGATGTGAGAGAGAGATGAAGTTTTAGATAGAGAAATAATGT